GTGCATTCAGCGACTGGCTAGTTCAATGGAAATAAGACAGTGCTTCAATGGGATTTTGAGTGAAACTATGTGTATGAAGTGCTCTAAAAACCCTTCCCGAACTCTTAAAGGGCTTTCGTGGTACGGTCATGTGGGACCCTTAGCTCAGATACTGGTGAGTGGGGTGAAAAACTGAAGTCGTTACTGTATCTAACCTTCGTGGCATGTTTTTGGGGATCCTCAGAAGATCGCTTGCTCTCACTCATGGATGGGGATTGAGTCCCCTGTAGATGGATGGGAGCTGTCGTTCGAATTCATTATATAGTTTTGGAACTCTACGTGATTTTCTCGTGATTTTACAAATCATAGCTCGTTAGTTCCCTTTTGTATTATGTTAAATCTGCCAATTTTTCTAGAATTGAACGTGGAGCGTAGGCGAAAACGGAAAACGCGCCGAGATACGGAACAGGGCGACGATATCAATGAAGTCGAGATCAGTGATCCACTCATCGAATTGCTTATCGAGAAAGAAGCGAAGTGAGTACTTACCACTGGGTATTCTTCTCATTGTCAGTTTGGTAGTATTTCTGAACGCTTCTTGAGGTAGGGAATGGCGCCATATTCTAGACCTATCTCATCTGCGGTTCAGTAGGGTCAAGGGCAAGCTACTCCTAGATTTACCACGGGTGGTTCTGATGAATAAATCAGAGTTCAGAAGGTAAAATGAAAATTCGGATGGAATCTTTACCAGTTCGTTCTGTGGATTAAAATATGCGGCACGGCAATTTCTTACCCCTGCACCACGGCCCTGGTCCATTGCAGATGAATTCCTGCCCAATTGATGCACGGCCATTATCTGATCTTAAATTTTTGGGAATCAGAAACGGAGAATTTTCCTTATTCGGACGGCCCATCACATCCAAAATCGTCGTGCTCACGTTGGACATCAGCCTCGGAACTTTTGCTGAACGGCTACTTCAAAAGCTTTTGGCCGCATGACTAAATTCCAAGAATTATTCACCTTAATGATTTTCTAAAGATTGTCGTCATCGTTCAGTCGATTTTTAACAGTAAACTAACTTCTCAAATAAGAACCGTTTCAATCTGGAATTTCATTTCACTCCGTTCTTTATTGCTTGATCGTACATTGGTGTAACCGAAAATGCGATTGGCTTTCTGTTCGAAATTACACCAAATGATCTCCCACTGGGTGGTTTTGAGGAAATAGCCATTATCCATTCACGCTGATTACCATGAACTACCATGGAGAATAAACAATCATTCGGCATTCTGCTACATTCGGCTTTCTTCTAAGTACCCTTTTACATATGAATGGTGAATTTTTGAGTGGGAATGAATCAGATTTTTCGAACTGCTAAGAATGATGTGACCCACCCTCCCACAGTGCATCTGTCACATCATTACAAGCTTGCACTTTGTAGGCATAACTCCAGTAGCGTACAAATATCATTCAGCAAATGGTGTCAACACGTGATTATAATGTTTTAGGTATCAAATTCTGTTATCATCCACTATCATGCCTATTCATACCTCTCTACGGGAAGCATTGGGAAGTGGTTACAAAGCTTTCGATGATATTGAGAAGGTATTTCTTAAAACTACTTATTATCCGCTTCTATACAGAAAAGCCCTTGGAGGCGTGCATTTTCATTAAACCGCGTTTCCACTAAACTTGCTTTTCGTGGTTATTCTGGTTTTTTTACGGAACCTATGTTTTTTGGAGCTTGTCCAATTACGGTGATTGTCTAATTAGTTCAGAGTCATAAATAGTAAGTGAGAAGTCATCCTTAATGACATGCAGCTGGTGAGGTCGAGAGAAGTAGATATTAGAAGAAGGGAATGTGGGGAAGTCGCTCTAGGGCGCTTGCTCTGGTGCAGATTATCTACTCGACGTGGTTTGTCTGGAATAAACCTAAAACTCCAAATTCAATATCTTCAATTCTATTCTGATGTTTTTTCCTTATTGTCAGCCAGATTGAGGTCAATTCCTTGCTTCGCATCGATTTCCTGCCTGTATAAAAAGAGGCTTATAAATTGAATCAAGTTGTACGTTATCAATCATCAATTACTAAAAGGGAGGAGGGTGATGTCATGCAACCGCCAATTATTACACATATGGTCCAGAGATCAAATTCCGGATCAGTACCACCCCAGACCTACCAAGCCTCGCTCTTTCTTGAATACGAACTCCTTGCAAATCATACATTCGTGACTCATCATTCTGGGGTAAGGTGGTGTAGTGGCAAGTGGACCACTATCACAGACGTAGGGACCGCAAGTCGAGTTACGGAGTCGATATTCGCCCAAGCCGACTGAGCTTTCAATTTTTCCGAGCTCAGCTAATTGGTACCAGAAGAACATCGGTTATCGTTATCCACCGCAAATCAGTATATTGGCTACATTCGCTTTCAAACGCCGCTACGATGCCGAATGGAGGTCGGGCGGAGGGTGATACAGAAAGGAGATCGATCAGAGAACTCAGTCTTTCACATCTCTAACTCCAGAAAATCTCCGATCGAAACAATTTCCAATGAGCAAGGCATCTCTTCTGAGTTCTTTGTTCCAGTATGCTGCAAATCCGATGCCTGTTGGTTATTCGACGAACTTCTCATATTGGCGTGCAAAAATACTGTCAGTATTAGTGGAATGGGCGAAATCGTTCGAGGTAATTTTTGGGTGTCTACGATCTTTTCCTTTTTTCTCTTTTTTTCATTCTTTCAATTCATTGGGCTGCTTTTTGTTCAATAATGAAAACATGTTTGCTTCCTTCCAGGTGTTCAGTCGACTCGCTCTTGATGATCAAATGCGGCTTGTGGTCCATTCGTCGTTTTCCAATCTTGTATTGGCAGAAGCCTTCAATACCCCTGAGAAATACACTGATCGTATTGTTTTCCCTGATGGCCTAAGTGGGTAAGTAACCTCGCACAACGCGATTGTCTGTGGAGGATATCATCAGATTTTTGTTTTCAGTTTTCGAAGTCCCTCGGCAAATGCTCTGAAGGAACGTAGTGGGCTGATTCCAACTGTTGTAGCAGTCATCAATAACATCTTGGTACCTATACGCAGGATGAAAATGACTAAAATCGAGTATTTACTTCTTCAAGCTGTGCTTTTCTATGACCCGGGTGGGATAACGTTTCTGAATTCGAGACCAATAGTTTTCTACCAAGAAATCTCCGCCGTCTGATTTCAGAATGTTTGTCGTTATCTGAAGTAGCGCAGCAACTGATTGCCGCTAAACGGCGTCGTCTTCTCGAATCGTTACGACGTCATCTCGATAAAAAATTGAAGGACGTGTCAGAAAGTGCTTCTCGTTTCGCAGAAATCTTGTTGAGGATCGGCAATGTGCAGGTATTAACGTTCAGAATTACACAAATTCCTAAATTGCGTAAGTCAGGCGGAATAGTGAATGGGTGGTAGTGAATGGTATCTATTTTATGGAAGATAATTTTTTTGTTTGTGAAATACTTATCGAATGACCAGCACCCCTTATTTTACATCTGATTTCACTTTTCTTAGCAAAGCAATCATGAATACTTTTAGTTATGTTAGGAATCACTGGCCGGTTTATATGTGGCTAAGTTTTCCGTACCCTTTTCTTCAAACTTCGAACCAAGAACTTCGATATCTGCGGCAACATTCACTTATCTAGAAATTTTACTGCATAACCGCGAATAAGCAATGACTCCAACAGGCGCAAAGGTTTTTCGAAGAAGCCCATCCAAATAGTTTCTCTATGGTTTTTGTAATCCTTAGCTGCTAGAAGAATAGATACTTGTAACCATCTCGATTTTTTTTTTGTAACGAAGAACGAACTACTCACTCGTTTTCGTGTTGTCACGCAATAAAATAATAGGTTGATGCATAATTATTGCGGATTTTTTCGCGGCTTCTCTTCTCTCCATACAATTTCAATATCAAAGTCGGGATTGTTATAGAAATATTCTACTAGCTCTATTCTATTCTACTCGCTTTTTTTAATAGAAATATGTCTCGAAAGTCATCTTCTTACTCGCCACATCATGCTTTATTACTTCGAGAAATGATGGAAGGTGGCACACTCATTGCGCGATCTCAACGAACTTCTTGGCGATGGAATTCTCAGCCAAAGCCAACTGAGAACTGGGATTTGCTCCTAAATCTCCATATTGACCCGTAGAAACCTTATAAGTTATTACGCCACGCGTTCGTTGAAAGATTGGCTAGCAAACAGGCCTTACGACGAAACCATGACTTAGTGGTCGATGTCAAGACGTGGATCGCGTTTAAGGATCGAAACTTCTTAGCCTATAGAAGTTGACTGCATAGCAAGTGGCAAGCAGCGCTTGAAGAATATAGTGAATACGTTGCGGAGTAATTGTTTGAACATGTATTTGTTAAATACTTTCATCTTTCTTTTGGATAAAATTTGCTGAAAAAAAAATCCGCAATAATTATGCATCAACCTAATATTACAACATAATATGAGAATGAATTATCCTGAGTCAGTGAAATCGTCGTAAAAACAGTGTAACTCAAGCAGCAGCTGCAGTGATGAAACTGCAACTTGTTCTCTACGATGTCAACAGAGAGAGAGAGTAATATAGGCCCGAATTATCAAACCTTACACATATAAAGTTGATTAATGTGTATTGTGTTTAATTTGAAAAATGAAATTGACATGGTTTATACTGTGCAGCAGTAATTGAAAGCTTCTTTTCCCCCCATGTGGTCGACTACCTTTTGTGATGACCAAGATTCTCTTGAATTGGATTTTTATTAATTTCAATAAACCCTATATGAAGTTCTAGGAAAAATTTAAAAATTGTTCTCGATTAGTATGTTCATAAATTATTGCTTCTTTTCCTTCTGAGATTATATACTTCAGAAAGTAATACGACGTAATGCGAGTTTATCAGTTCGATTCGTTAATTTGTATTGTTTTTAACTTAAAAACTGAAATTGACATAACTTGTACCGCGCAGCAGTAGTTGTGAGCGACTGGCTGCCTTCTGAGAAAGCCGAGATGCTCTTAAATTGGATCTTTATTAACATCAGTAACCCCTACATAAAATTCTGACAAAAATTAAAAAATTAAGGGGGCAATTCGCTGGTGAATTATCTCTTTCTTTCATTCTGAGATTGTATACTTCAGAAAGTAGCAGCGTTCAAACGTGAAACATTGGTCACAATAGAGACGTTCAACTTGATGCAGCCACATCCGTTCACTATGGAAATTTCGAAAAAGTATCCAGACGTGTCGTTTTTCTAGTCATTACTGGACATCCTCTTGAGGATAGTCTTAAAAAGATTTTATGTATAGCTATGTATATTTGATTAATGACTCTCTAACAAGCACTTGAAATACTATGTTATACACAGTACGATCAGGGAGAATGCATATTCGTCTACTATCAAATATCTTCTGCTGGAATATTGTTCTATCAAAAACCTCATGTGAAGTAGTTCAGGTTTTGTTTCAAATGGATTTAATATATTCCGAATGTTCAGGGTGTTTTTTTTTCAAATTCTATCATCATAGGCCAGTCAACTCAGTTACCTACTGTACCATCTACTCGCTAGTATATATAGGTTAAGCCTAGCTACCAGTAAACACTCTGTTTTTCATTCATACATTCATTCATACACTAATCTTGCTTTCGACAGAAGAGATCTCCTTCTTCGTTACGCGTAAGAATAATTATCGTCCTGGATTCTTTGTTATTCGAAATTATTATTCTTTTTACTTGGAGAGATACCCCGTTCTATCAGTCTCTAAATAGCTCTATATGTTTTTTTGTTTATTTTTGGCCTATATTAGGCAAATCCGTATGTTCCGTGATACTGTATGATTTTACTAGCCATTCTCTCTCTTGTACTAACAAAAATTCGACGATGACAATGACGACAAGTCCCTGCGGGTTCCTTTGATCATCCCCCCCCCC